GAGTCCCCAGAGACATTCAGAGTCCCCAGAGGACTCTCTCAGTCCCTCCGGGCGAGGCACCCGAGCGGTTGCGCTGAGGGTTTTGCTAGGCCCGGGCCGTTGTCGCTCCGCGCGTCTGGCGCTGGGCCGGGCGCGGGTTAAGAGCAGAAACGAGCCCGTGTCGTTTTCTTGCCCCTTCGAGCCTCGGGGGACGGGCAGGGCGTGATCGCTGGGTGGGTTTTGCAGCGGTGAGGTCGGTGTCTACCTCACTTCATCCTCTGCTAACTAACAGATATCAGCCCGGGCTCACTGACCATAAAGCATAAGCTCGCAGATGGTTTAAGGTGAGGTGATGAAGATCTTGGGTGCCTGAAGTTTTTGCATTTCAAGTGTTTCTCAGCGGAGAGAGTTGGCAGAAAGATGTAATTCATCCTTTGCGAACTTGGGTTTCTTGCAGCATTACGGTTTTCATCTATGCATAGTTAGTGTTTGCTTCTAAGGGCTTGATGGTTTTCTCCCCAGAATAGTTCAGGGTGATGTTTGCTCTGTGTGTAGCTGAGGCGCTGGTCTGATGGAAGTATAAAGAAGGACGGGCTAGAAAGAAATCACAGAACGGCGGGGGTTGGAAGGCACCTCTGGAGATCACCTAGTCCAACCCACTGCTAAAGCAGGATCACCTAGAGGAGGTTGCACAGGACGGCATCCAGGCAGATTTTTAATATCTCCAGGGGAGGAGACTCCACAGCCTCCCTGGGCAGCCTTTTAAGTTACAAGGCTGTGTCCTTTTCCCTCAAGTTGCTCAGCCTCAGACAATAATTTATGTTTCCTCAGTGTTGAACTTCCTTGTGTTCAATTATTACCAGTCGTAATCCAATGTTTCCTTACCACCTGAGAGCATGGTGTTAATATCTCTCCTATTTCTGACCTTTTTGAGAAAGGAGGAAGATGAAAAGGGAAATGTTTTTCTAGACTATAGAGGGTGTTCGAAGAAGAGACAAAGGAAGGTGTCTTCCTCTTTTCCACCCATGCCTTGAGTGATGTAGTAGGAGTTATTCTTCAGGAACACAAAGCTTGCAGTACTTTACATTCCTCACATCTATCAGCTGTTTTCTGTCATTTCACTTGATCATTTGCCTTTTTTTTTTTTTTTTTTTTTTCCCTCCCCTCTTCTCTGGCAGATTACTTTATGGCTAAACAAAATATATGAGAATCAGCCTATTCCACAGTATGAAGTGAATGCAAGGACAGTTGATATCTTGTATGACCTTGTAGAATGCAGTGAAGCCAGAGACAGGGATGCTTCCTTGCTGATAGAGGACATGAAGCAGAGGGCGGCAGAATATGAAGCAGAAGGTGAGTTTGAAGCTCCAGTTCTCTGTTCCATCAAAGTTAGTTTTCCTTAGCGACCCTGAAGGTTGTCTTTGTTAAAATCTTACAAGCAAATACAAAATATAAGAAATAATTGGAACAAACTGAGCTTTTATTCTGGTGCAGCCTTTACTAAAACGCATCCCATGCTTTCCTTTCAGAAAAATTTACAGTGACATAAGGTTGGTCAAGAGCAATTTTTTAAGCCCTCTTGAGCAGGCTGTAAATACAGACAAGCAGATTAACTGCCAAAACCTTCTAGCCTGCTGGGCAGAGTAGCGCAGCATTGAAATGTTGGCTGGATAGACAGGGAAGCAACCCTACAGCTGATTTAAGGGTCTGAGCTGGTGCTAATCCACTGTTAAGGAAAGCGCTTGAGGAATCTGAAACCACAGTGAGATGACCAAGTTACGTACAAGCTATGTAGAGTGAATGTTTGATAATGTGGGGGTTTTTGAGCGAGTGGTTCAGGGCACCATACTACTTTTTTAACACATGTTAAAAAGGAGAGAGTCTCGTCTAGGCCCTGAAAGAACAGTAATATTAAAAAAATAATTACTATTTTGGGTTATGTTTGTTTTCCAGCTAACTATCTACAGGGCCTTCTTGCAGAAAGCTTGGATCTTTCCACTGTCTGTCACAGGCATCAGCAACCTCGATGTCCTGGTGAACAGTGCAATGGCACTTGAAACAAAGGACACTTCTCTTGCCAGGTAATTATTCCCACTGTGCAGCAAGAGTGGCAGTCTATGCTGTTTCCCTCTGTTTTTTCCATTCAACAGTTTCAAACTTGCCTTTCACACCAAGAATCTTACTTGTCCAGCTTCTGTTGCACCCCTTGGGCAGCTTTGGAGGACACAGGAACTGAGTACAAAGCTCTAACTCTTGGTGATTATTATTAGAAAGAATTTCTTTACTGAAAGGGTTGTCAGGCATTGGAACAGCCTGCCTGGGGGGGTGGGGGTGTCACCATCCCTGGAGGTGTTTAAGAGATGGGTAGATGTTGTACTTAGGGACATGGTTTAGTGGTGTTGGTAGAGCTAGGGCAAAGGTTGGACTCGATGATCTTGAAAGCATCTTCCAACCAAAACTGTTCTATGATTCTATCCCAGCAAAGGAGGTCTCTGAAGCCTGAGAAGTGCCTTGACCAGAGTTAAACCCCTCGGTTTTCCCTGTGCTTCTGTGGTCAGTGGCTGCAGGATGCTGCCACTCAGACTGTTGTGCCAAGTAGCACAGCCTAGAGCAGCATTCACGCTGCCTGGGCAAGGACGGGGGAACTGTAACTGGTCTTTCAGTTGCAGCTCCCCATTCTTCCCTCTCTTTTCTGGCCTCGGTTAATGTAAGGAAATTTCCTTAGCCACAGGGAAACAGCAGTTGTGAGTCTGGTCTTCCTGAGCTCCTCTCCCTAGCCTCGCTTTGACACATAGCACAGCAGGCTTGTGCTGAGCACCAGCAGTAAGGAAAGGCCCAAATCTGCCTTGGAATCCAATTTTTGTGTGATATTCAGGAGCTTGGCTCTTGCAGCGCTTCTCCTGAACTGGACAGGCAAGCAGCTTTCAGCCATTCTGGAACAGGAGGAGACTGAAATACCTCTGGGCATGTCTCAGGGACTTGTGTTTTCAGGGACTGGGTACAGTTCCTCTCAAAGGCAATTTGGCAAGCCAGGAGTGGAGCACCTGATCATGTCAAGCCCAGTGGTTATATTCACCGGAGTGCCAAGTCTTGTTCCTTTTCTCCCACTCGGATTGCTGGGCCGTTTCTCCTTCCAGATGAAATCTTTGATAGCTAAGGGAAGCAAATACCATTAGTGACTTATTTCACTTTGCTCCTCTAAAATAGCTGGCAGTTATCCAATGTATCATAACATGAGAACAAGAAAAGAAAGTAATTTGTGGAAAACGTGAAGAAAATAATGAGTTGTGTTTCAGAAGAGCTGGCTCCTGAGTATTCCCACTGAATCTCTCTTTTTTTCACCAGCTTCTTCGGTGCCATCAATGATATGACATTGGAGATGTACACAACAGAATCCAAAAACAGAGAAATGAAACTGGAATTGGCCAACATTGGGAAAAAACTAACTGCAGCGTTGATGCTGGAAGAGCAGTTAAAGCAGTGAGTAATGGATAAGAAAAGGGAAAAATGTAAGCAATACTGCCAGTGTGTGCAATGTGGAACATTGGTTGTGATAACTAACAAGGATAACTGAATTTTCAGGGTTTTGGCACCTCTCTAATTCACAATATTTGGAAGTATCTCTCAAAAGCTGTGTGCTATGGATATATTCAATGATCAAAAGAGATTTGGGATACCACCAAACCCATTATTTTAAACCAAAAATGGTCTACAAGCAGTTTTCAGATATGGGCTGGCACCTTCCACCAGTTGCCTTTGTCTGAGATTGAAGGCAAACCTGATTTTTCTTAACATGTTTAGTGTGGGCTCTGTAGTTGGAGTGAAGGAGCCAGGCAAAACAAAAGCTGTTCCCAGGTAAGAATTGCCTTTAAACAGTGTGTGGCAGACTGAAATAAAAAAATGGTATCCAGTCCATTCCCTGGAGGATGTAAACTGAAGTGCTTTGCCAAGCATAGCAGATCAACCCCCTGCCTTGAGTGGGGATGTGCCTAGATGATCTCCACAGCCCCCTTCAGTCTAATTATTTTCTGGTAGTTGTCTTTTAAAGTAGTAAGTGTGGCGCTGCTTCTAGCAAAGGTACCAGACCTGTGGGCTTTGTGCAGGTTTGCCGTGGCCCCTCTCTATGATCTGGAGTTTAGCTTCTGTACGAGGTCTCGAACTGTATTAGGGAATTATGCAGAAGACTATTGCTCTTTGCTTTTATGCCGATGGCTTTCCCCTTGGCCTTCTTCCCCCACCCCTGCCCCCAGCCTTTGGGACTCGATGTAACAGCTGTGGATGTTTCCACTGGAAAATCTCATAGGGAAATGCAAGTTTTTCTCCATTCTCTCCCTTCTCACGTTGGTCATATTAGAGGGTTCACTTGAGCATAGATAATTAAGCGGTATTTGTATACTGGTATCTCTTTGAATCTAAAGTTTGTTTCTTTTTGTATTTTTTTTAAGGGATCTTAAAACAACAGAGGAACTTCTGCAAGTAGCAGAGGACAAAGCTCGGAGCCAAGACCAGACAGTGAAGTTCCTGAACGAGAAATGTTCAGATTTAAAAGACAGAATCAAGGTTGCTGAGGTAGATGGAAGGAATTTTCTAACAAGATGTTGTGAATGGGATGACACAGTCTGGTTGGTCGGGCCCAAAATTGTAGTTATAGAGGCTTCCCAGGAGCTTCCTAAACTCCAGGACTGAGGACTCTCGAGCTAATAAGACAACATGTTACTGCAGTTCAGTTGTTCCTGCTATATTCGTGGTCTCTCCCCAGGACATCCTATGATAAATGCAAGGACACTTGCTCTTCTTTCCCAGAGATCTCTATTGGCTTGGGCTGCCTTCTGCTTATTGTAATGTACCGTTGCATGAGAGTGTACAGACAGCTGTCAGTAGAGCAGCTGATTCACTGAGGTAAATTGTGTGTCAAAATTGTGAATACAGCCATTTTTTGAAATTAATGAATGATTAAACACAGAAGGCAGAAGTTGTACTGTCTTCCCCTTTGCCTTTCCTGCGTGATGAAGGACATGTGAATGTTCTATTTAACACTTGGTTGCTGCCTGACAAGTGTGAGATGGAAAATGTATTACAGTTGATGACACTTTACTGAGAAGCCTTTTCCCCGCCTTGCCATGTGCTTCTCTCCCAGTAGTCTTCCGATTATGTTTTTTCTGATTAGTAGTTTACTTGATATGAATTTTAGTAGCAACTGATTTCATATACCAGCTGTAGCTGTGGTTCAAATAGCACACGTTTCGGTTGTTGACAAACTGTGTTCTTGTTTGCCTGTTTAGATCAAAACCCAAGGAAACAGTGAAGATCTTTCTCCTCCCTTTAAGTTTTGTGGTCAATTATGAGCAAACTCTTTCCTGTTTGTAGGAGCAGCTTTCTGCCATGAGGTTGGACCAGTCGCTGACACACGAGTCACTCGTGAGCCTGTCTGAGGTAGGTCTTCTGGTACAAGATGGGTGTTTCCACAGTGGCACAGACCAGGCTTGTTTGTCGGGTGGTTTCAGAAAGTGTAGTTAGTTATTGGTTACCTGAACAAATATTAATTGTGAAAAGAAGCACAAATAAAAATCCTGTAGATGGATTCCGCTGAACTGGGTTATGTTGGATAGGTTTGCCTCTCCTAGAAACTGAGAAGCATCTATGGGTGCTGAAGCCGTGCCTTTTCTTCAGGGTTAGATCTCGGCTTATTTTGGACTTGGGAAGCAGCTTTCCTTATGGACTGATCAAGGGGAACAATTGGAATCTTTCTTTTTGTTGCCTTTTGGGTTTTCCCTCTCTTCACTTTCTTGCCTCTGTCTGTGGTGGGCAATATAGCCAGCTAGAGAGCTTCCGTGGACTAGTCCCTGCCGCTGGAAGAAAATTGGCAGCCCGTGATCTGCCTCCTCTCTTTGTGATCCGTAAACAGAGTGGGTATTCTGTGGGCTATATCCTGTTTCATGGCTGCCTGTGTGTTGCAATTACTTGATAGGATGACCCAGGTGATTCTTTCTAGTTTGTGTGCCATAAACCTGCTTTCTGACACTTCAGAGCAAGGGGAGGAGGTCAAGTGAAACACAAATTCTGAACCACTGTGTGCTTTTTTTTTTCTTGTGTCTTTAAATACATTTCTCAGCTGTATTGTAAGCTCAGCAGGATAATTTGCTAAAGGAAAAAAACCCATTTCTTGCATTACTAGCTATAGATTCTCCAGCTTTGTGCTGAAGCATTTGTACACAACTAACACGTACTGTACTTGTATCGTTTGCACTCACCACATCTCAATATTACTTGGTATTACTGTAACGAGAACTTAGTCTTTCTCCCCACTTCTTTTGCTGGCTTTTCCTGCGTGTTAGTTGAGTTGAACAACGAAAATAGGTTTCCTGATTTTTATGTTGTCGTTCTCATGAACTAGCACTGGGTGGCAATGTTTGCATTGTGTAGTGTTTCAGAAGAGCACTAACCAAAAGTAGTTTCTGTTGGAATTTTACATGCAAAAAGTCAGAGGCAATTTTCTAGACTTGTCGTCTTGTAGCAGCTGAGCGTAAGGGCAGGTTTGACTCCCTGACGCTTCTGTATCTGCTTTGCCCAGAGCTCAGTGAATTGGGCAGCACAAATGAACTAATCTTCCGAGTGCATTTTTTTTACTTTACGTTGATTATTTGAAAAGCGTTAAGGACTGTGGAACGTGATCAATTTTTAAGCCCCAAAGAGAAATTTCCCTTTGTTATCAGAATAAGCAAAGCAGTGCAAGTGTAAGGGGAGTCTTTTTGCTGCTGCGTGTGCAGAACTGTTTTCACATGGATGCCGTAGAGATGAGAAGGTATGACCTTCCTTGAGGCTCAGTTCCCCTCTGGCCTGTGGCAAGGTTGACAGTGAAAGTCCTTGGTCTGGTGGATTCTCTTTGGAAATCCCCTGTGGTTATACTGTAAGAAAAGATGTCTGAAGAAGTCTTCTGAACAAAGAAAAAATAATTGATACCTCTGTGTAAAAATTTGAACTGTGTTTGACTGATAACTGAATGAATAGCAGATCTTGCTATTTTCCCATTTTGAAACCCATTTTCCATGGGTTTCAAAAAAGAACACGAAAGCTCTCACAAACACCTGTAAATTCTGAAATGCTGTAGATAATTGTGGATCTATTTCACCAATTTACATAATTTCTACAAGTAAGACTATAGAATATAATCTGCCTTGCTCTCTTCACAGGAACTGGCCAGACTGCAGGAAGAAATTGTGCCTTTGAAGAAGCAACTGGAGTTCTACCTAGATTTAACTCCTGTAATTATTTTTTTTTTCACTGTTCTATTTTATTTGCGATCAGATTAATTTTAATGGACTTCAGAATGTAAAGGATATTGTTGTGGTGGCTTCAGTGGACAGGTAGATGTCCTACAGGTCTACTAATGGTGTAAACAGAAGGCTTTACTTAAACAGAAGTATGTCTATTTATTAATCAAAGGCAATAAATGAAGTATGCTTAGCCGGCAAACTTTGTTCTAACAAAATGTGCAGGTTTGCTGGGTGAGCTCAGCATCAAGGTGAGCTAGCTAGAAATGAGGGAAAGAAATGTGGAAGAAAATGCAATTCCTTAGTATAACACATGTTTTGAGATTTACCCGTATATTAGTAACACATGTCATCAGGCTGTCAATATGGTAGACACAGCACGTTGTGCAGAGGTTGGAGCTCTGAGCAAGATTTACTTTCTGTGAAAGTTAGGGACTGAAAATTTAACTTTCTGTGACATCTGTGCATCGCCACCTGTGATGTTTGGGAGTACTAAACCCAAGTATTTCCAACCTCCTTTGGAAAGTTGCCATTACTTTTGCAGATGAGTATTAAGGACTTGTCGTTCGGGGGAGACGTAGGAAAAAACGGAGTGTGAATAATTGAATGGGTTTGGTTTTATTAAATACAATTGTAAGTGTCTAGTTCACAGTTTTGAATTTGAGTTACCTGCGATGGCCTCTGTTACCTCCTTATCAGAGCACCCCACAGCCTTTAACAGAGGGGACCTCAGACCTTTCTGTGTAAGTGGTGAAACAGATCTGTTCCAGTGCTTATGAATGGGGCACAGAGGTCCAGAGAAACAAAGAGACTTGTCCAAAATCACACAGAAACTCTGCGCCTGATCACACCTGTATTATGACCTAGGGACCTGTCTGCTGGGCCACACTTCTCTCTTCACCTCCTTAGCCTCTCCATTGAGTTCCTGCCTCTCAGCACATCTCCCTCATACAGCTACTGCTGTCTCCTTCCTGGAAGAAAAGGAGGAAGGGAGAGGGTGGGACTGCTTCTCTTGGAAATCCATCTTATTCCCTGAGGCAGCTGCCTCCTTTCCTGAAGCAAAACGGGACGTTCAAATTGGATTAGGTTCTCCCAGTGCCCCCTCCCTCCCACCTTGCTGTCAGTGGAGACAGGTAGAGCCTGATGCCTCACTTCTGGTGCCGGCAGAAGCAGGGAGGAAGGTTTGTCCTTGCAAGCTTATTGTGCTTTGGAAAATTCATGCACAGATATGTTTAATATCTAGTTCCTCGACTGGCAGCTTTGGAAAATTGCTAGTAGCGGGGGTTTTTTAGTCTTGAGGCCATACCAAACTTCTGAAAACTATGTGATTGCCCAAACCAAATTGATACTAGGCTTTTAATGGCAGTACCTTTTGCGTGCGAGGGGTGTACACCAAACTGATTTCGTTATCCCTGAATTCCTCTGCGGCACATCATTAGACTCTTGCAGTGATGCAGGGACTCTGTGTTTCCAGCTGAAATACTGATTTTAATGCCATTTTCTCTCATTAGAATCCTTTACTTGCACAAGTGAAGATTGAAGAAGTAAAACGAGAACTGGTAAGAGTTTTATCTTTCCCAGAGGTTTAAATGAGTGCTGTCATTCCAAAACAAGCTGTATGTATTAATTGGTTGTGGATTTACCCACCCGAGATTGTAGTCTTAATGATCTCTAGAGGGAAATTTTGCTCTGGTAAGGCAGAAGCCATTCATATTGGTAGGAGGAACTGGTGGAGGGATGATCTAAGCTACAAAGGCGGTTTGCCGTAATGGTCTCAGTGGGGATTAGGTATCTGTATCCCTCTGGGTTTTGTCTGCTTCACGTGTCAGAATGTTTATTCACTAAACTGTGTTGCAGCTTCTTGGTCTCACAAGCTTTCTTGCTGCTCCTGGACTCTCAGAGGGTTCTAGGGCCCATATTTTATTTAACAGCTGCCTTGTTGACTGCAACGGGGACCTTTCCCAATAAAGCATGATGCCTGTTTCATCCATGCTTGTGTAATCTGCAGGTGTGGTCGTTTGGTAATATTCATATAAAGCTGTTTGGGAAGTTCATATGTAGCTTTTCTGAGTGAGCTGGGCCACATTTAAGCATAAAACCTGACTTTACTTCTTTTGGCTACTGTCTGCTTGCTCATAGATAAAGCACAAAGTATTTGGTGATAAGCCTTAAAGCTTTGATCAAAAATCATAGCTATTTGAGAGTATTTTGTACATCTTCAGACGGGAGTGCTCAGGTTGGTAAGCTACTTGGTTTTGATTCAGAAGTACAAGCTCACCTTACCAGCCCGAGGCTTTGATCATGTCAGAATACTCGCCTTTGGACTGTACTTGTTCAGCTTGAAGGTGTCTGATATCGCACTGGGGCACAGTATGAAGGCAACTGAGCTTGTATAGTCCTTCATTTGGAGATTTCTCTGTAGTTGTCTACAGAGACTGCTGCTGTTTGCAGCAGTGAGACCTCCTAGTTCAATACGTGGGTTAATCATTGCTAATAACGTTCCAGGATTTGATAATCGTGGCTGTGTTTTGTCTAACCAGAATGTAAGAAAACATTTTTCATGGTCACTGATTCCTCTTGGTTTTCTCTCCCTCTAGGATGCCTTGGAGGCAGAGTTCTCAGAGGAGGTTGATGTGCTGAGTCTTGAGATGGCAAAGTCCAGCAAGTTCCCCTGAAGTGGCCTGTGTGGAAGAAGATTTCCCTTCAATTGTCTATTTATTTGCACTAGTAAAACACTTTGGAATTTGTACTGTACTTCTGCAGCTTTCTGGCTTATTTTTCTTGCTGTTAGATTGCGCACTTGTGACCTTCCAGCAACCATGCTCATTTTTAGGGGTTCCTGTAGCCTAGCATTTGTAAATGTCACCTATTTTTTGTAAAATAACCCCCAAACTTACTGTTTTCTTTTATCAGTTCTTTTTCCATATGTGATACACATGTGTGACTGGCCTCCAGATGGCACTTTCACCAGGAGATGTCCTTGTCAGGAGTTGATTAACCATTACTGCTTGGAATTGAACTGATCAGGAAGTCTGGTTTTCTTCTTTTTCCCTGTCCAGGCTCTGGATTGTGCTGCTGCTTGGAGTCCTCTCTTGTATGGTGCAAGTACAGTGAGGACGGACTCTCTTTACATCTACCAGATCATTGGCTTTTGCTCCCCTGTTTTGTTTTCTCTTGTCATTTCAGAGTTGGGGACGCATAATTTTTTTTTTTACACTCATAGCATGTTGGATGTTTACCAAGTTTGCGAAGATACGTGCCTGGAGTGCCTCTTAGTTTGCACGTTGTCTTTAAATGGAAACAAGCAGTTAAATTTCTCCTTAATGTCTTCAGATGGGATTTGATATGTTAATCAAAGTGAATGAGCCAGAAGTTGTGATCTAAGGCTCAGAATAATACTTCCTATTGCTTTCTAAAGCCCTGCAGCATCTGAGACGGCCCACAAAGGGGATTTTCTTCTGTGTGTGATGGCTGTCTGCTTCATGGAAACAGGTTGAGCTCTGACTTGTTTCACGTGGGTCACAGTATTGGCTTCACAGATCGTAGAATCATTCAGGTTGGGAAGGACCTTTGATATCGAGTCCAACCATCAACCCTACTCTACCCAGTAGACCCCTAAACCATATCTCCAAGCACCACATCTAAATGACCCTTCAACACACTAAGGGATGGTGACTCAACTGCCTCTCTGGGCAGGCTGTTCCAATGTCTGACAACCCTTTCAGTGGAAAAAATGTTTCCTAATAACAAGTCTAAACCTACCCTGGTGAGTCTGTTCCCTCTTGTTTATCATTACCTGTGAGAAGAGACCAGCACCTGCCTCTCTACAATGTCCTTTCAGGCAGTTGTAGACAGCAATAAGGTCTCCCCTCAGCCTCCTTTTCTTAAGACTGAATAGCCCCAGTTCCCTCAGCCGCTCTCCATAAGGCTTATTCTCTGACCCTTTCACCAGCTTTGTAGTCCTAAGATCAGCCCGTTGCACCGCTCATGCAGGTAGGAGCTGAGATGTAGCAGCATCAGCCTCCTGAGGTTCTGGAGTTCTGTTGTCATCGGAGAAAACGAAGCCCACAGCCCTAACCTGTAAGGTCTGCCCATGCTCAGGGCTTTGAGAGATACTGTTGGCTACTTCTTTCTTATAATGTAAACTAAGCAAAAGAAAATAAATAGTTTTATGGATAGTGAAGTGATAGCTTTAAAGCCAAAAAGGGGCTTTATAGTAAGACCTTTCTAGGTCTGAAAATAGAATAGAATCACAGAACAGTTTGGGTTGGAAGGGACCTCTAAAGGCCGTCTGGTCCAACCCCCTGCAGTGAGCAGGGACATCTCTAACTAGGTCAGGTTGCTCAAAGCCACGTCCAACCTGACCTTGAATGTCTCCAGGGCTGGGGCTTCCACCACCTCTCTGGGCAGCCTGTGCCAGCAATCCACCACCCTCGTTTAAAGAACTTTTTCTTAATGTCTAACCTAAATCTACCGTTTCCGAGCTTAAAACCATTACCCACTGTGGGATGCGATCATTTTGAAGCTAGACTGTCCTTTCCAATTCTGCCTCAAGTGTCATCTTCCAAAAGGGTCCCCAGAACCCTCCACTTATTTCCATGCCACCACCACACCAGCCTTAAGACACCCCCAGCTTTTACAAGTTGTTTGGTACTAAAGCCAAAAATTGAAAATCTGTGGATGGGGCAAAATTAAAATCTAGAAATAGTGGCAGCACCTAAGGACATCAAACATGGACTAGGGCCTGTCTGTACTGGGCAACGTCTGGACAAATAACAGTGGTGGTGGTCTTGGTGACAATTTGTAGCTAGGTCTGTTTGCAAGTAGAGTTGCAAAAGATTATAGTAGTGGTTTAGCATGGTGTGCCTGTCCCCAGAAGCTGTTATGTCACTGCAGACATTGATTTCGCTGATCTGCAGGAAGAGAGATGATTGGCCTCTCTTGAAGCAGTAGGATCACGAGATCTGTACCTCATGCTTGGGGTGTAGCTCTGATATCTGAGAAGCTGCAAGCTCAGAATGCGGCTGGTTTTGGTAAAGTGCCGCAGTCTCCTCACCTTGTGACCTTCACCACCTTGTGACCTTCACCACCTTGTTTGTGGTGGTGGGGAAGAATCGAAGGAAGTTCAGAGAGCCTCTGCCTGTGGCAATCTTCGGCCTTATCTTCTATATGACGGAGGGAGTTTCTGTTTAGTTTCAGGTTTTTAAATCAAGATGCTAGGAAAGGGCTAGTTGCCTTAGTTTCGTGGCTGTTTATCTTCAATTTCTGATGGGCTAGAAAAGATGGCAAAAGCAAGCAGACAAGCCATGTCCACATGGGCTAAGGGGAAATTGCTTCAGGGGTAACTGATGTGAAGTCTAGAGCAGGCATAGTACTGTAGGGATGACTACAGGTACAGCTACTGCTTAGCAAAAAAAAAAAAAAAAAAAAAACCACAAAAAAAGCACCAAAAGAAGGCAAGAGAGTAGTCTTCAAATCTGGAAAGAGAAACAGCATAATCTGATCTTTGCTGTTGTGGAAGGGGAGAGCAGTCTTGAAACTCATCAGACCATAGCTGGGTAGACATCAGAGAATGATCTAACAAAGCCATTGTAAGGCACTGGAGGTCATGGCCTGACAATTAAGGGATCTTAATCGCTGGAGGCTTTTAAGAGCAGATCAGAAATGCTTTGCTTAAGCATTTATAATGCGATGGAGTGTTGATTATGCTCTGGGACAGAAAGATGGATTAGATGAGGGCTCGAGGGTGCTACCAGCCCTGCTTTTCAAGGAGAGCCTCAAGACTTACCCAGCTAACGTTAGATGAAGACTTTTTATCGCACATGTGTAACCATAACCGTGGGAGCCAGTTGTGAAACTTGGGGGGGTGTTCTCCCTCTGCGCCACAAGGCAGCTGCACCGCTCCCCCACTGCTGCTGTTTCACAGCACGTGCTGTGTCCCGTTCATTGGCAAAGAGCCCGAACAGAGACAGCGGCAGGGCCAGACCGACTCGAGAGCCGTCCAAAGATAGACACGTGTCACTTCCTAGCGTTGGAAACGCAAGGAGAAAAAATACCCAGCAGCTGCATCGGCGCTGTGTGCCACGGCTGAGCCATCGGCAGCACACACAGCGTAAAACAGCGGCCGGTTGTCGGGTCAGACAGTTCAGCTTTTGATGGAAATGGGCAAAAGTCAAATAAATGAGATTTTTGCAGGCAGTGGACTGTCGGTAAGACTTCTCAGCGCTTCAGTTAGGCGTTTGCACGGGCAGAGCGCCTTGCAGGGCAAGCAGAGGTGTCCTCTCACTGTTCGTGTTTTGGGGAGGTCCAGCTTTTCCAGCGTGGGGATGGGATGCCAGCACAGGAGTGACTCTGAGCGGTCCTGCTGAGACAGGATCACACCAGCACCGAGAAAATGTTTGATTTTGGGCTTCACCTGCTGGCCTGGCAGCTGTGAGCTGTTTTGGCGGAGGTCACAGTGGGTGGCAAGAAGCTGTGGCAGCCTGGAGGGAGGCTGCCAGCTGGACCCCTCGGCTGTTGTATATTATGAAATAATCACCCAACTGAGAATGACATGAATGCCTGGGGAGGCCTCCGCTGCTTCAGCCTCACTTCAGATTACCTCAGCTGCTCTGCTCTGAACTCCCAGCCTGATTTTTGGAGACACCCGTCTATTAACACCTGCAAACTGAGAGCAGTTGTGCTCGCTGGGAGCTTCACACGGGGCTCCTGCAGCTCCAGGGCAGCTGCCCACGGCGTGGAGTTGGAGCCAGCCTGAGCTGCAGACCCCTCGGTTTTACAGACAGTGCAGATGATGTGCACACTTTGTCACCATGCGCTCAGTTCCTCCTGGAAAATGTGAGGATCCAATTTCCACCTGGAAAAGAGAAAAAGGAATTAAAATTAAGCACTAGATGTGAAAAACAGAGGTCAGCCTGAACTGTAAACTTGTATATGTTTTACCATAAAGTGACATACTGTTCTTATCAGGCGATATGCAAAATAACAATTGCTTTAGGAAAAAAAATCAGAATTTATCCCCAAATTAGCTAGCGGGCAGGGATTTCTTTAAAGGAAAACATCCAGGTAATAAAACCATAATAATAAAAATAAAGTGCTAGAGCAATGGAAAAATACATGAGGCAAATTTAAGACTACTGAACTGAAATATGTATCTATTTATTCAAAATGTATTTAATCAAAAGGTGCGGATGGAATCTCTTGGTTATATATTTTGGCTAGTACTATAGAAACACTCTGTTTGTTGCAAACATTTCATTGTGGTTGCCTTTCAATCTTCCTTCGACTGAAAGTATTCACATTTTTTTTCATTCATATCAATCCTTTAGTAGATATAGAATATTAATATGGGATTTTGTAATTAAATACAATTTTAAAAAATTCCTTTGATAGTCAATGCTGGTTTGGGTACTTGTAGGCAAAAAATGTGATTGTCTCAACTTGTAAGTGTACTTAGGATTTTTTTTTAATTACATCTAGTAGTGAGTACGTCTTACAGGTCTGGGAAAGATTTTGTATTTCTGAGCTACTCTTTGAATTTTTAAATTGCAGGGTCAGCAGTGAAACGACAGTACTCCTGGTCCGTGCAGCCTTGCATGCTGCAGGAAATCCTTCCGTTTGTCTCCGAGTACGCAGTTGCTGTTAGTAACCCCAAGTGGCTTTAGAAACATTTTTT